GGTTTTTTTTCCCCCCCCCCCCCCCCCCCTTACCATTTGGAAAAGGCCTTGGGGGGGGGGGACCCCCCCCCCTAACATGGGGGGAACCCTTGGGGGGGGGTCAGCCCCCCCCCCTAGCATGGGGGGGGCCCCCCCCACCCCTTGTGGGGTTAGGAATACCCCCCAAAGACCCGATTTTTCCCCAAAGTTGGGAAATCGGGGCAGAAAAATCCAATTTTTTGGAGAAACGGGCCAGTCTCAAGGGTCATGTAGCTCCGGAGGAGGATTTCCCCCTCAAAAATGGTGGGAAATGGGGGGTAAAATCAAGGGCCCGGAGGGTTTTCCCCCGAATTTTTGGGGGGGTTTTGGGCCATGCCCCCCCCCCTAACATTTGGTGAAGGCGTTGGGGGGACCGGGCCCCCCCCCCTAGCATGTGGGGAAGCCTTTGGGGGGGGTCGGACCCCCCCCCTAGCATGTGGTGTGAGTAGAAGCAAGCCCCCCCCCCCCCCCCCTGAAGCGATGTCCGCCCGCTCCATATGCAGCACCTTGCCGACGACTCGTGCGTTTCGGCGGTAGTGATCTGATCACCCGAATGCCACGTTCGGAGCGCTTCTCATCGCAAACCCCGTCAGCAGTCCTCCTCCGGGAATGTACGTAAGAGCTACATACACGGACAACACTCTCTCTCTCTCTCTACACGGAAAATGTTGATGCATTACTGAGGAATGAAAAGAAATCCAAAACGGGAAGGGGAGCCGAGGAGTCGAACCTCGATCGCGGGAGCCACATTCCCGAATCATGACCCCATTAGACCAACCCCCCAAAGGATGGTAGTCCGGAGACTAAGTAACAAGCTGCTTTTGCAAGCGGCGCTGATTGTTTGTTTGTTTGCTGTGACCATCCTGACCCTCTCCCTCGCACACGACTTATATCCAGTCCTCGCGCACCGTGCCCCGTACACTTGTGGCGGCGTCCGCTGTCCGGGTCCAGTCGTTACTCCGAGTATGAGACTTCCGTTCCGGACACGACCACGACGCAGACCGGAGGACGTGTGCCACTCCACTGCGCCATAACTCACACGATGCCGTCCACTACGCCCTGCTCCTCCGCCTCCGCCTTCGTTGCGATGATGGACTCCAAGACGGCCGGCGAGAACGGTGCGCTCGAGCACTCCGACGCCGGCTCCCCGCTCGTCGCCCTCTTCTTCAAGCTCGTCCGCTCGCTGCCCGACGACTCTCTCGCCTCGCTGACCGCCGCCGTGCCCGCCGAGCCCGCCTCGCTCGCCGACCTGACGGTGCTCGCCTTCCAGACCCGTGCAACACGCGGTATGGGCAAGGGCGAGAAGGACCTCTTTTTCAAGATGCTCGCCGCCCTCCCCGTCGAGGCTGCGACGGCGACGCTCCACCTCGTGCCGCACTTTGGCTACTGGAAGGACTACCTGCTCATGCAGGGCGTCGCTGGGATCGACGCGGCGGTCAAGGACAAGGCGCTGTCGCTCCTCGCCGACCAGCTGCTCAAGGACGCGGCCGAGCTCGAGGCGGCCGAGAAGGAGGCGCGCACCCCGAACCTCACCCTGGCGGGCAAGTACGCGCCCCGCGAGGGCTCCGCCTTTGACGGCCTCGCCAAGCGGCTCTCCACACACCTCTTCGGGAACAAGAACGAGGCGGCGTCGGCGCGCAAGTACCGCAAGCTCGTCGCCTCCCTCAACCGCGCCCTCTTCACCACCGAGGTGCTGATGGCGGCCAACCGCTGGGCGGAGATTGAGTTTGCGCGCGTCTCGTCCCTCTGCCTGCAGCGGTCGCGCAAGGCCTTCCTCAACGAGGCGCTCAAGGGCAAGCTGGCGCCGGCGCAGGAGGAGACGGGCAACCGCCACCCCGAGGACGAGCAGCGCGTTGCGGCGCGGCACAACCTGCGCAAGGCCCTCCTCGAGAAGGGCGCCAAGGCCGTCAAGGGCAAGCAGCTGTATCCGCACGAGATCGCGCAAAAGTGCATGCGCGGCGGCCGTACCGAGCTGTCGACCCTCGAGGCGGACCTGATGCACGCGCAGTGGGAGGCGATGCGCGAGGGCGTCAAGGAGGCGATGGCGGCGGCGGCGGCGGCGCGCGAGGCGGCGGTCGCCGAGGCAGCGGGGGAGGGTGCGCCGCTCGAGGCGGTGGCGGCGCTGCGGGCGGCGCTGCCAAAGCCGGTCGACCTCGGCAAGCTGGTGCCGCTGATCGACGTGTCTGGGTCGATGGTGGGGACGCCAATGGAGGCGGCCATCGGCCTCGGCCTGGTTGTGGCCGAGCTTCCCACCCCGCCTTCCGCAACCGCGCCATCACCTTCGAGTCGAGCCCGCAGTGGGTGCACCTCGACGGCGCAGGCAAGGTGGCGTCCAAGGTGCGGGCGCTGCAGGGTGCCAGCTGGGGCGGGTCGACCGACTTTGAGGCGGCGTGCGAGCTGGTCCTGGGCTGCGCGGAGGGCGCCCGGCTCAAGCCGGACGAGGTGCCCGACCTGATTGTCTTTTCCGACATGCAGTTCAACGAGGCGCGGGGCGCGCACTGCATGTACGGCCGCTACGGCGGCGGGCGGGTCGCGTCGTGGGAGACCCACCACGAACGGCTGACGCGGCGCTTCGCCGAGGTTGGGCGCGCGGTGTGCGGCGAGCCGTACGCCGCGCCTCGCATCATCTATTGGAACCTGCGCGGGAACACGGCGGGCTTCCCAGTGCAGGCTGACGCGCCCAACACGCAGATGCTCTCGGGCTTCTCGCCGTCGCTCCTCAAGCTGGTCCTGGCGGGCAAGGACCTGGTGGGCGACGAGAAGCAGGTCCGGCTGCCCGACGGCACGGTCAAGGTGGTGCGCGAGGGGCCGACGCCGGAGGAGACGGTGCGCGCCGCCCTCGACGACCCCGCCTTTGACGCGGTGCGGCTGGCGCTGGCGGGCGTGGAGGAGGGGCCGCTCGCGGGGTACTCGTTTGAGAAGGACGACGCAGTCGTGGTGGCGGACGCGCCGATGGCGGAGGCCTTTGAGGTGGTGTGAGTTGTGAATAGTAAAAAGAAGAAACGCGACGTCAGCCGGTGCACTGCATTCTGCATACCTACACACTGCATGGCACGGAAGCGGAAAAGAAGGAAAGAAAAACAACCCAAGGGAGGGATGGGAGGACGACGGCACGCCGCCACCACACAGGGATTTTAAGGAGAGGAGTGTTGTGGTGCCGCCGCTAGCCGTCGCCCACCCTTGGGCGTCTGCCTCTTCGGAAGCGGAAGCGCTTCAGAGAATTCTTTTCTGTTTTTGACCGCGCAAGATATAAAGGGTGTCCTAAGGGCTCTGCTCGCAAGGCGCCCGCGTCGCAGACGCGGTACCATTGACAAATCTGCAATATACCCCCACACGAGCAAATAGCCAAAATCCGAATACCGTGCCCGAACTGCTGATCTGCGCCGGGCAAGCCTTCAGCTGGTGCCACATCCGTAAAATTGAAGCCAAGAACGTCCGCCAAATCCGTCCGTGCTTTCGTGCATTGGGAGCAACTGAGGGAAAGCCGCTGATCGAGCCCAGCGTGCCCGCGGCCGCCTCCCGCGCAGCACCGCCGCTGGGGACGACACGCTGCGGAATCGGATCGAGCCCATGCACCGGAAAAAGAAGGCCGCTGCAGAAGCGGTTGGAGAGGCAGCCGGCGTCTGCCGTCACAACGAGTCCCAGCGCTGGTTGGACATGCGCGTCGGCTCGCCCGAGGACTGCTGTCGCGACCCTCCCGTCGTGACGCAGCCTCCGACGAGCTCTGCAACCGAGGAGGGTGCGCCTCCCCTCACTGCTGGCCTGGCTGCGCACCGCCCCACAAAGCACCCCCTCGAGCATCTCTACAAGTACAAGTACAAGGGCGACCTTCTCCAAGTCGTCAACACGCCCGGCGGCTCCGACAAGACTTTAGCCTTGGCCACCCTCCTTGCGGAGCAGGAGGAGATCCGCTCTCGGTCGGCAACGTGGCAGCTAGTCGAGAGACTCGGTAGTTGTGACCCCCCTCTGTGCTCTGAGTGAGAAGGACAGGAGAGAGAGAGCTTTTGTGGTGTTGGTGTACGCAATAACGGGACAGGGTAGTCGTTCTCTCTAGCTCCCCTTCTAGCTCTTAGCATGAGCTGCGCCCTGTGTCCGACCCCTTTTGCGCAGCAAAACCTTAAAATTTTAGGCCCTCCAAATTCGGGTCGGAGCGTAGCGGAGTGGGCCCCGAGTTTGAAAAAGGGCGACGGACGCTTGCGTCCTAGCCTCCAACAACGCCTCCCCGGCGCAGAGGGGCCCCCGGAGGGATGCTCAACCGCTCCACGCCACGCCGCTTGCGGCGGTCCTATTCCCAGCTCCGCTGAGGGCCCGTGCGTTATCATCAGCTTTGTCCTGTATCTTTTCGCCACACACCCTGCCCACCTCCGCGGTGCGAACGGTGTCCACTCCGCCACAGGCCGCCGCTCTCCTCCGCGCGCTCGCTCAGGACGACGTCTCCTCTGTGTCCAAGCTCCTGTCAACTCCCGTCTCTTATCCGCCCGCGACTCTCGTTTCGGCGAGTGGCCGAGCCGCAAGGGGTTGGAACTGGTTGCACGTGGCGGCTGCCCACGGTGCGCCGGCCACGCTTCAGTGGCTGATCTCCTCCGGAGCGCCCGGGGTCGGGGCTGTCCATCAGCGCGCTGGCGACGGTCGCACTCCGCTGCTCATCGCGGCGGAGCACAGCCACGCCGAAGGCAGTGACTGCGAGGCGCTGGCGGCGCTGCTGCGTTGCGGCGCCGCCGCAGACGTCGCTCGCAAGCCGGACGGTGCGACGGCGGCGCATCTGTGCTCAGCGCGCGGCTGCTCGCGGTGCCTCCGCCTCTGTCTCCAGCGCGCGCCACACCTCGTCGACGCGCGCTGCCGCACGCGCGGAGAGCAGCCGCTGCACGTCGCGGCTCGCTGCGGCGCGAGCGAGTGCGCCGCCGTGCTCTGCGCACTGGGGGCCCGGCTCGCTGAGCCGACAGGCCCCCGAGCTGCGCTGCCGCTGCACCTCGCCTGCCTGGCCAGCCGCGCCTCCTCCTCCTCTGCAGCCGCGCGCACGGTCAGGCAGCTGCTCGGAGAGTGTCGCACCAGCGTCGCCGCCTCGGAACCTTCCATGCACCCTTCTCGGAACCTTCCGATAGGCAGCTGCTCGAGTGTCGCGCCAGCGTGAGCGAGCGCGACGGGGCGGGAGGGACGCCGATGCGGTACGCCTGTCGCTCCGGCTCGCGCCGGGTGGTCAGCACCCTCCTCTCCTACGGCGCCGACCCGCGCTGCTTCGCGGCGGCCGTCGCAGCGGCTCTGCGCGCCGTCTCCGCAGAGGCTGCGACCCGCAGCGGCGCTTCCGCGCTCGGGGCGCCAGCGACGCTTGCGTCGGCACGGCGGTACGCGCGGCTGCTCGCTTGCCTGGCGCTGGGCGGCGCGCCGGTGCGAGCTGCCGACCTCGAGGCGCTGCGCCTTGGGATGCGCGAGGCGGAGCTGCTCTGGGCGGGAGCAGAGCCGCTGCGGCCGAGCGCGGGCGGCGGCGGCCAAGCGGTGCCATCGCTGTGGGCCCTCGCGCAGCGCGCGTCTGCGAACGGTCTCTCGGCCGAGACAGTGCTCCCAGCGCTGCGCATGGCCGCCTGCCTCGGCGCGCGCCAGCTGCAGTACGAGTGCGAGCGGTTAGTCGTGCAGAACGCGGCCGCGCTGGGTGTCGACCGAAGCCTCCTCGTGGCGCTCCTCACCAACGCGCTCGGCCGTCACGCGGCAGTGGCGGCGGCGGTCGCCGCCTCGGGAGAGCCCAGGAGCGGCGGCTTGAGCAGTCAGTGGCGGGCCGTGGCGGCGGGCGCAGAGCAGGACCTCTTCACTCTGGCGCCGAGCAGCGACGATGAGTCGGCTTCCAGCAGCGGCGCGAGCGGAGGGGAGGGGAGTGAGGCTGGGGACGAGGCCGGGGAGGCCAGCACCCTGGTCGGCAGCAGCGCCGCGAGCGTGACGTCTCAAGCCTATTTTGCTGTCCGCGAGCCGCCCCCACCGGGCGCCGTCCCGCCGCCTCCGGCGCGATGGCGCGGAGCGCCGGACACTAACCACCCATCGCAAATTTAATATCAGGACATATGGCTAGCCATATATTCCACATAAAAAAAAAAATGCTAGCTCAAAAAACCGGCACACCAATCTCCCTTCCTCTCTCTATCCTCTCTTGGAGCTCCAGAGTCCACACCCCCCTGCCCCGGGATCGCGTACAAGCTATGGCTACCGTAGGCCACACTAGCGTCGCTGGGGGTTCCCTGCCCTAGATGGGAAGCTGGCCGCTGATCCGAAGACCGACTGCACCAGGGCGCCTAGATATACTCGAGGTGAGCGAGGGTGAAGTTACGCCTTAAATGCCGGCCTCTCTACTGTGGACCTTACTCCGAGCTCGTTGGCTCCTCCTATTCCCCCACCCCCCCTCCCCCCCCACTCTCTCCGAGCAAGGGCGTGCGCTACGTCCCCAAGGGGGGGGGGACGTGGGGGGGAGGTGTGGCGCTTAGGTTGTGGCGTTTGGGTTGTTGTGGGGCACCCAAACGGTTTCGGTTTTCCTCCTTGGTGCCCCGAGTAGAGCGCGATCTCCCCTGGAGTCTGTCGCGCCCGTTCTGTCTAAGCTCGAGGTTCAACCTTCCAGTTGATCCTTATCGGACTGGTGAGGTCTGCCTAGCCGTCGTAGTGTAGTGCCTTGGGGTGCGTCTGCGTCGGTGCTACACACACTCGGCAGGACGCTGCTCTAGGTCGTTGCTGCTGGTCGTCGCTGTTTGTTAAAGGTGATAAATAGTTTCTCTTTTTTTTTTCAGAGTACTTATGGCAGTAAAAAGGAACGCGTGCGGCAGGCGCGGGCTAGGTCGACATCCCATACTTCGACTCACTTCTTCACTGCTGCGGTGCGCGGCGGCGAGGTGAAGGTCTCAGAATGCACAGGCCATGGGCTGGCTAAGGTGCAGGCGCGTGCGAGGGCGCAAGCTGCGTCGTGCGGGCTGTTAGCTGGGTGCTCGCTTGTGTTGTAAGGCTGCTGTTTTCTCAGGGCGCGGGCGGTCGCGCAGTGCGTGAGCCGCGCGGGCGTGTGTGAGTGTATTGTTGTGCACAGAGTGCACAGCGCACAGGCATGAGGGGTGAAGCGATCTTGGCCGAGCCGCCCGGGAGCGCGCGCGGCGTGCCACGCGCGCCTCGCCTGGTGGAACGGGGCTGTCGCGGGGTGCAGTGAGCCGCGCAGTGGGCGGGCGGCGCGAGCGTGCGTGTGTGTTGAGTGTCCAGCAGGTCTGCTGCACAGCTGCTAGCAGGCTGTGCAGCAGATCCGGTCGGGTGGCGATGCGTGTGCGCGGCGGCCGCCGTGCGCGGCGTGCCGCCGCGCGCGCCTCGCGCGGTGGAGCTGCGTCGTGCCGGGCGCGGCGCGCTCTGGTACGGCACGGTGCCTGATGCAGGTGTGCAGGCGCCTGGCAAAAGGCGCAGACTGTCAGTGAGGTTCACTGCGGCGCGCGCGTCGCGGCGTGAGTGGTCGTGCGCCTAGCTCTGGTGGTGCGAGAGGCGCGTGGCTGGTGCGGGCGGCGCGGGACGGCCATGGGGCGCCAGCACAGGGCAGTCGCACATGGCACAACTCAGAATTGGCGCTGCGCGTGTTTGCGTGCGCGCGGGGACGTACGCGCAGTTTTCACGCGGTGTGCGTGGAGAAGGGCATGAGAGGCGCCGGCCGCGCGTGTATTGGCGTGTGGGAGTTCGGAGTATGCCCGGAGGGCGTGCCCGTAGGCGACTAGACTTCGCACTGGCGCCGGAGGCCCCAGATATGAAGAAAAGTTATATATATATTCCACATAATATATAGGTTCCGATTCGTTTCCAGTTCCACCCCTCCTGCGCCTGCCCCTCTCAGTACTCTCAGTAGAGGCTAGAGCCGTACGTTGGCCAAAGTACAGGTTTCGATCCGGGCCACCGCAAATTTTGATCAGCAAATTTCGAGGGGCGGCCGCAAATTTTGAGGTAGATTTTGATTGTCAAAATGTGTCCGTCTTGGCACAGGATAGAGCATATAGGCGGCGAACACCCAGGTGCGCAGGGACATCGCGACTCTGCCCGCTCGCTCGACCCTTTTGCCGCGAGACGAGGGCGCCGGCCGCGTGTAAGAGGTGGCTGGCGCCCTGAGGCGGCAATTGGTGGCGTGGGGAGTGCGGAGAACGCTACTGGCGGCGCGACAGGGCCTCTCTCGGTTGCGTGTGCCGCCCATCGGCACGCGGGTGCGCAGACATCGCGACTCTGCCCGCTCGCTCGACCCTTTTGCCGCGAGAGGGCGCCGGCCGCGTGTAAGAAGTGGCTGGCGGCCTGGCGCCCTGAGGCGGCATTTGGTGGGGTCAGCGTGCGGTGCTGAGTCTTACTCGTCGGCGCTGGGGCCAGATCCCAGCGCAGAACTCTGCAACGCTGGCATACAAACACAAGAAGACTAACCCTAACCCTAACCCTAACCCTAACCCTAACCCTAGGTCAGCGTGTGGGGCTGAGTCTTAGTCGTCGGCGCTGTGGGGCCAGATCCCAGCGCAGAACCCTGCAACGCTGGCATATACAGACACAACCAGACTAACCCTGACCCTAACCCTAACCCTAACCCTAACCCTAACCCTCTAACCCTAAATAACCCTAACTAACCTAACCAACCCCCCAACTCCAAACAACTCTAGCACTCACACGTCATTTGGGGCCTGGATAAAAATCTCTCTCCCAACTCCACAGTCCACACAAACGCGCGTGAACAGCCACGGCTACGTCAAGGCGCATCGCGGTTTCTACCACGACGCGATCTTTGTCAAGCGCAACAACTTCAACCTGCTGCTCCACGAGACGTTCGGCGGCGGCTTCTCGCCCACCGCCGTTCTCAAGCTGCGCCGCCTCGCGCGCAAAGTCGCGCGCGGCAGCGTTGACCGCACGGCCTACTCGCCCAAGTACTCGCTCTCTTTTATGTCCCACCATGCAGAGCGCATCTCTCTCTCTGTTGTGCGAGGCGTGAACCGCGCCATTCGCTCTCACCTGGCAACCCTGTCTGCACGTCTCGCGCGCGCGTGAACAGGGCTCCAGGCCCCAAATTACGTGTGAGTGTTAGAGTTGTTTGGTATTGCTAAAAATCTCTCTCTCGTGAACAGGGCTCCAGGCCCCAAATGACGTGTGAGTGTTAGAGTTGTTTGGTATTGCTAAATAAAAATCTCTCTCAGTCCACACCGCAAATTTGAAAGATCTTGATGAAAATCAGGCCCGACTGCAAATTTCTTCAAAATTTTCGCAGGCGCTCCGCGCCTGCAGATTTTGAAATAAATTCGACAAAATTGGTACCTGGCCCAAGCCGTACGGCTCTCTACTCAGACCCCCGCGCGATCCATACACCATAGTCTGAGGGTATCCTAAAAGTTCGGCCGATTTGGGTCAAAACGCTAAAAGCACGGCTAGCCGTAGATTTGGGGCAAAACGACAAAAGTGGGCCCGCCCGGGGCAAAATGGTAAAAGTCGCGCGCCGCAGGCGCGCGCGAAAATTTTGGACATTCTGCTCTCCGGCGAATGCCACTAGCCCCCCCAAGCCGGCAGATGGTACCTCGGCAGCTGCAACCACAAGCCAGCGGGTGAAGTGTTGTGGGAGGATGCGTCCTTATGTGTCACAAACTTGTAGCGCTACATGTCTGGACACACACCGGCGGGCGCTTTCGAGGGGCGAGCGGCAGCATTTTTTTAGCCATAGTGTGCGGGAACTACTTTGCCGTTGCGGGACGATAGGGATAGCTAGTACTTGCTGCACCCGCGGCGCGCAGCGCCGAAGAAATTTTTGAGTGATTCTGAGATCAGGTTGGGCGACTGGCAGACATTTCAAAAATTTGGCGCCGCAGGCGCCCGCTGCGTGCCCACCATGGTTGGGCGCGCAGCGAAGAAAATTTTGCGCTCTCGACAGCCTTTTCTAATAGGAAAATGGCCTCTACTCGGCGCCATACCGCTTGTCGGCGCACAGCGGAGTTCGCAAGCCGGACCTGCTGCCTTCCCTTCTACGTACACTTTCAGAATGGAGGCTCAAACGCAGCGCAGGGCTCAGACCAAGTGCAAGTCGATTTGTACCACAAAGTTGGTAGACAGTGCCAAAACCGCGGAACCGAAAATGGCGTTTAATTTCGCGCACCTGCTGTCCGCCGCCTGTGGCGGCGCTCCGCACCGCTTGAGGCGCCTGCGGCGCCCCTGGCGGCGCGCTGTCCGCGCGCCCCCGCTCTGTGGTTTTCGTGGGGGGGCTCGGCTCTCGTAAGTCTCGATTTGTACCGGATTTCGACGTTAGTGGCAAAACTGCGGAACCGAAAATGGCGTTTAATTTTGCGCACCTGCTGTCCGCCGCCTGCGGCGGCGCTCCGCGCCGCTTGGGGCGCCTGCGGCGCCCCCCTGGCAGGTGGCAGCAGTGTGTACGGCTGCGGGTGCGCCCGGTACACAACCGGCGCTCTATGGCGTGCTCCGGGGGAGCACGACTACGCAGTCGTGGCTTCCACACGCGAGAGAGTGGCTTCTATATTTACGAAAACATTGGGCGTCCCTAGTGCCGCATCCATAAGAAGTGACGTCACGGTTCCAGGAGCGCCTGGCGGCACACGGCTTAGAGTGGCAGCCGAGCGCCGGCCACGACTATCGAGTCGCCGTCGCGGAGCTGAGGGCTGGCCGACGGGTGGCGCGGTCTTCCTCCCAGCGCCACCCATCGGTCAGCCCTCAGATCGATCGATCGGCGCTCAAAGTCGCTTCAGATCCGAGAAAGCTGCTGGCGCCGCTGCCGATCCCAGCCGCGACGCCAGCAGCTTCCTCTGCTCTCCAATGCGCCGAGAAGCGACGCGGCGGTGCTCGGCTCGCCATGCACGATGACGGCTCCGCTGGGTGCTCGTCGGCCGGTCCGGTGGCACCCTATTCGCGCGTCACCTGCCGGCGTCCCGACGACAGCCTCGCGCCGCCGCTGATGGAGGGGCGGTCGGCGCCACTGCCGCCGCGCCGCCGGTGGGAGAGGCACTGGTGGTGGCCTGGGCGGCCCTCCGCCGCCGCTCGGCGCGCCCGGGCAGCGGTGGCAGCCTGCGCCGCCCCCGCTTCGAGCGGGCGCCCCCGCTTCGAGCGGGCGCCCCCCGCTTCCAGCGGGCGCCCGGGACGGGTTCCCCGCTTCGAACGGGCAGATGCGGCCGGGGATTCGCTTTCTGAAATGTCTGCCTCCAAAGGGGAAACGACTAACCTGATCTCAGAATCACTCTTTTGAAACATGCTAAAAGTTGGGCGCTCCGAGACGACCAAAGTGGTAAAAGTCGCACTCTCCCCTGACCCGATCAAAAGCGTAAAAGCACCCGAGGCTCCAGAAACCTAACCCTCAGACTATGGCGCGATCTTGCGCGAAATCTTTGCCCTCGAGACCTTTCTACATACATAGAGAGTGAGAGAGCAGAGAGGTGCACGCACACACGCGCACCGGTGGACACACGTGGGTGTGCACACACACACACACACACCCTAGACGCGTGGCTCTGCGCCTCCGGCTCTGAGGGGACTGAGGCTCTGACACTGTGGGGAGGGTCGGCGACGGTGAACCACCAAAAACTAAAACACAGAGGTCACAGCAGGAGCGGCCGCTGCCGGCCTCACGACGCGGTCACAGCAGCGGCCTCCCCCACAAGCTGTGTGTACGGGCGCCGCGCGGCACGACCCCCGCCGAAAGGACCGCGGCACGACCCCCGCCGCCGCGGCCTCAGGGCAGCAGGCTGAAGAAGTACTCGGCCTCGAGCGGCGCGTCCTCGGGCAGGTCGGTGCAGTGCACTCCGTTCCGAACCTTGTCCTCGCCGTAGCGGGCGCGCAGCGACTTTGGGTGGATGCGCTCGGCGACGGCCGGGTCGTGCGCGCCGCACAGCTCGCGCAGCGCCGCCACCGAGCGCTGCGGCTCCGCCGTGAGCACCAGCTGCAGCGCGACGCAGCCGCCCTGCGACAGCTCCTCCGCCCACTCCCTCGCCTCGGGACTCACTCCCTGGTACACCTCGAGGAACTCGGACGCGTTGACGCGGGAGAGGGCGGCGCTCCGGCCGGCGACAAGCTCGAAGCCGGCGGCCACCACGTCGCGCACGATCCCGCCCAGCCTCCCTCCGCGCACCGCGTGCGGCTTGACGAGCAGCAGCCCGCCTCGAGGGTCGCAGCGCGCGAGCGGCGCCGATCCGCCAAAAAGGAGCTTCGCCTGCGCAGCCGCCTCGGCGCCGTCGGCGGAGCCCTCGGCGCCGGCCCGCCCCGCGATGGCGGCACGCCACGCCGAGACCGCCCTCGCCCCCTTGAGCTCGATGGCCACCAGTGGCCCAGCACACGCTCGCGCAGCAGCCCGGCTGTCGTGCGGAAAGAGGGAGGAGGCCTGCGAGGGCGAGAGCGACAGCACCCGCAGCTCGGAGACCGCGAGCGACGCGGCCGCAGCGAGCTCGAGCGCCTCGCCGAGGAGCGCCCGCGCTTCCGTCGTGACGAACGCCACGGTCCGCTCGGAGACGGGCTCAAAGCGGCGCCCGGTGACGGCGTCGGCGTACCCGAGCACCTTGAGCTGGCGGGCGTAGACGGTGACCGTCGACCCGACGTGGAGATCCGAGAGGGTGACACCAGGGCAGACGCAGCGCTTGAGGAACGTCCGGCGCGTCTTGCTGTCTATCATCTCGACCGAGCCGTCCGACTCAAAGTAGAGGAGCGAGAAGTGGCGCTTGAGGCAGGCGACCTCGTCGTACCACTCCGTGTCGAAGGCGTAGCGCGCATCCGTGTCGCCAGGCATGGGTGTTCGACGGTTTCGCCTGGCAGTGGATTCGGCTACTCGAGTAGGGAGGGTGGTACGCCGAAACTGAAACGCGGAACGCGATCTCAGCTCGCCGAGCTCGACCTGAACGCTCAGCGGCGCGACCGCTGAATCGCAGCCAGCCGTTCGTGCTGCACGCATGCATCGTTGCAGTTTCAGATTACTTCCCCCCCTCCTCCCCGTAGGATTCTCGGTCGATCGATCGCGCGTCCCAAAAGTCGCCAAAAGTGGTATGCCGCGAGTCGCAATAACCCGCCCGCCGTCCCGGCGGTCCCGCAGCTCGCGCGCATCTCCCTCTTAACCCACCTCTAACATCACAATAGTGGATCCCTACAGTGGGTTGCGGCGCACATTCCGCGGCACGCGTGTGCTGGGGGGGGCGACAGGGAGGACGTGGCCCTGAGTTATGTGTACGCCAACTCAGGGACCCGCCGAGTCGGCTCTCTGGATGACGGCCACGCAGGCGCGAAGAGAAATTTTGAGCTGGGGCTCCCGTTCACACTCGTGCCTGGCCTTTTCTCGGGGCCGCGCGCCTGCGGCGCGCCGTGGTTTCTTAGATTTTTGCGGAAATCGCTCGCGTGGTTTCTTAATAGTACGCTTTCTTAAGGTCCCTCGGGCCAGTTGGGGGGGGCAAACCCAGCCCGCCCCCTAGAACCCCGAGTAAGGCCCAGGTATGGCCTAGGGCATCAGAAGGGACCAAGAGGAGTCCAGTCTGAGAGCCATAGAGCCCATGTCTTTGCCCCCGAAGGTCGCGTTCAAATGCCCGGAACGGACGTTACAGTGGTGTCCGGCCGGCGCGATCACCGAGCTGTGACGCTCAGCCAAGCCGGTTGAGGTCGTACTGGTTTC